TTCCTTCAAAAAAATGTTACTGAAAGGGGAAAGCATTGGGTTTTTATTTACAGTGGCCCCCCGTAACGATATTAATCCGTTCATGAGAGCTCATTGTTATGCAAAAAAATGTTATGCATGAATTTTCCCCATAAGAAATAAGGAATAAAATTTAAAACCGTGCAAGACCCCCAAAATATAAAAAAAAAAATTTTACCACAAAAAATAACTTTTTCCCTACCAAAAAAGGAAGGATACATCCCAAAAAAGTGGGTACATCACAGAAATATTGTGTGTATCTCTACAAATGAAAATAAATGAACTTACCTTTATTGAAATGCGCAAGACTGATGAAAAACCTTGTCCTGGGAGTGCTTTTCCTCCGGGTTTACTGTAGGTCCTGTTTGGCTTTTCTTCCAAAAAGGCCTTATCACACTGTGTAAGCCACTAGATTCTTTTAAACTCCAAACCCAAACCCTTTTCGGGTTTTAAAATTTCCCCAAAATGGCACTATTTCCCGGGGTTTTTCCCTGTTTTACCGGGTGTTTGTCGATGGTGTGGGTTTTCATCCGGGAGACAAATTAAGGACCCCAATGGAAATAAGTTAAGTCCAATGACACACTTTTTTGGGTTATCCGGGTGGTAACCCTCTGGGGTTAATTGTTCTGGAAATCTCAATAAGGGCCACACCAACACGGTGTACAGAGCAGCCAGCACAGCTGACAGTGCTACAGCAGCAGTGACATGCTACGGAGCGCGACAATGCTGCACAGCACAGGACGGTGGTACAGCAGCAGCAGCAGCTGACAGTGCTACAGCAGCAGCAGCAACTTTGCTACAGCAGCAGCAGCAGACAGTGCTACAGCAGGCCAGCAGCAGCTGACAGTGCAGCAGCAGCAGCAGACAGTGCAGCAGCACAGCAACTGACAGTGCTTCAGCAGAGCAGACGGAAATGCTACAGCAGCAGCGACAATGCTACAGCACAGCAAACGGTACTACAGCAGCAGCAGCAGCAGCACAGGTACACAGCAGCAGCAGCAGCGGTACTACAGCAGCAGCGGACGGGGGTACAAGCAGCAGCAGCAGCAGCTGACAGTCTACAGCAGCAGCAGACGATGCACAGCGGGTCAGCAGACGATGCTACAGCAGCAGCAGATGGTACTACGCAGCAGCAGCAGCAGACGTGCTACAGCAGCAGCAGAAGTACTACAGCACCCAGCAGACGTACTAAAGCAGCAGCAGCAGCTGACAGTGCTACAGCAGCACAGCTGACAGTGCTACAGCAGCAGCAGCAGCTGACAGTGCTAACACAGCAGCAGCAGCTGACAGTGCTACAGCAGCAGCAGCAGCTGACAGTGCTACAGCAGCAGCAGCAGCTGACAGTGCTACAGCAGCAGCAGCATCAGCAGTTGACCATGGTACTACAGTATTTCGAAAAATATTTCTCACCCTTTTTACCACAGGGTTGGCACTAGAAGCTTTCTTGGGGCCCATGGTTACTTATTTGGCAGATAAAATCACCAAAAACACTGTAATAATATGAAATGTTACGATTGTATGCTTGGATGTTACCGCGGAGGCTGGCTTGTAAACAATGCCACCGGCGGAACATGTGAGGCTGGCTCAGGCCGCACATTAGACGCGTCTCGGACGAACAGCGTTGAGCGGGTTTTTTAGCGGTATGCGAGGCAAAATCTTAGCGATAAAATGTATCGGTATGTGGATTTAACGTTATGTAAGGCCAACGGTATGCGGGGGTCCACTGTATTCTACTGTACCACTGTGGAGATAACTTGTACACAATGTAAGGTGTTTGTATGAACATGCATAAACCATAACCAGACACTTCGTCCGTTTGTTTACATAGTACTCTGTGTGGGTGGGATGACCAGGCAGGCTACCCTACCGCCCACACCTGACTTTATACAAATACAGTGGTCCCTCGTTTTTTGTAATTAATCCGTTCCAGAGAGTGTGACTATTATCGAAATTGACGAGCTGCGAAACCATTTTCCCCATAAGAAATAATGTAAATCCAATTAATCCGTTCCAGACACCCAGAAGTAACAAAAAAAAAAAAAAAAATTTTTTTTTTTACCTTAATATAGATAGATTTACATGCACAAAAGAATGAACATTCAACATGACATTTACCTTTATTGAAGGCTGTTGTTGATGGATGGAAGACAGGGAGGAGGGGAGAGGGATGAGAGGTTATTGTTTGGACTCTAGGTGCCAACTCCTTATCAGGGGTAACTTCCCTAGCTTAATTATAAATTTACATGCAGAAAAGAATGACAAATAAATGTAAATCACTAATAAAATGTATAAATGAAACATTTATCATCAATTACCTTTACCGAAGATTTTTTGGTGTATGGCAGAGGGGGGGGGGGAGTTTTGTTGGAGAAAACACCCCAAATTTACCTTATTTATCTACAAAATTTCAACTATATAAAACAAAATAAACAATTTTAAAAACAGGGAAACATGACAATACTCAGAAGAATAAAATAAGCTTATGTATGTCACGACTGGTGCTGGTTTTTTGTTGTTGGGTGTATAGGGCCACGAGAGCAAAAGGTAAAGGGCTCAGCCGAGATGGCAGTGTTTTCGTACCCTAAATAACTCCAACAACATTGGGAGGAGTTAGAAAAAAATTTGCGATTCACTAACCCTCCTACAAACTTTTTCTTAAATTATATTGTGTTTCTCACATTCTTTCCCAAAGGGTGGCACTAGAAGTTTTCCTTTGGTGGCTTATTTAGCAGTTGCAAGCACTAAAACGAATGGAATTTTAAAATGTAATAGAACTGGGGGGAACATGCACACTAGCAAGAATGGAGTGTGGGGTTGCTCAGGCGTGTTACGACGGGGACGAATGACTATTTGCAAGTCAAACGACGTTTGGAAGTCAATTTTTTTGCAAAAAAAAAAAGTTATCATTTCAAAAATTACAAATTTCAGTGCTTGCAAAAAGCGGGGAAACCCACTGTAAATACTTTTTTACCTCTCCCCCAAAAGTTTATGAATATTTTAAGGAAGCAGTAGTGTATGGATAAATTTTTTTATCACTCCGGGCACTTTAAGCGTCATAGTATTTTAAGGTGGGTGGGGGGGCCAGGGGGGCTACCAACCTACCCAAATGACTTTTTACAACATATACTCAGTAAACCATCAAAATCCGGCATCTTTGGGGCCCTGTAGTGTACTGGATTCCCGATTTCCCGGGATTACAGAGGGGTTGGGTTAGAATCACTTAATAAAATTAATAAATTGACTTACACAAAAGTCACTGAACTGGGAAAAAATTAAAAAATTTTCCGCTTTTTTTGAGCTCAATTTCAGGGACTTTTTTATCATGAAACCAAAACAAAACATACTATTTCTGTAATATATTTTCCCTTCTATTTTAAAGAACCAAAAACGAGAATACAACCCTAAAAACCATGAGAAAACCACAAAGAGGCGGCTAATGGCTTAAAAGAACCCCTTATTTATCCCAATTTTTTTTTTATTTTTTGGGGTAGGTTAAAGCATCTTTTCCACTACAAAGCCAAGTTTCAATAAGATGCCCAACAAAACTAGAAAAAAAAAATTTACCAAAAAAACATATACACAACCCAAACCAGGTACTGGAAATAAGTCATTTTTTCTGACTTTTTGAGTTTTCATGGTTTTTCATACAAGTGCTAGCAGATAATTATGTAACTGCATTTGTGTATGCCCGATAAACAACTTTTTTGCGACTGGAAAAAGAAACTGCCCCTTACCTATTTCAATACCCCCAAAAAAGTGGTCAGAAATTGGAATTTGGCCAATTTACACACATTTTCAACAACGCCAATTTCAAAATAGGTCCAAATAAAAAAATGCAGACATTTCCGGCACTAAGTAACATTTTTCTTCTTTTATCCAGCTCCAGGGCCCCCCTTTCCCTCCTGCTTTCCATTTTAATTTTTATTTGCAAAAAAAAAGAAATTTACTGTTATTATGCAGACTACTGCATTATTATAAAAAATTGTATAAATAATGTTAAACCATCTGGGTGCGTACTGGAATTTGGACGGAGCGCACATAAAAGATGGGACGTCATTTGTTTACTCTTGAACATGGGCAAAAATCAAATATTTCCTCCACTTTGAGCTCAATTTCAAGGTACTTTTCGTCGTGAAAGCAAGAAAGAAAAACTTTCACCATCATTCACTCCATCACTGTCTTGCCAGAAGGGTGCTTTACACTACAGTTTTTAAACTGCAACATTAACACCCCTCCTTCAGAGTGCAGGCACTGTACTTCCCATCTCCAGGACTCAAGTCTGGCCTGCCGGTTTCCCTGAACCCCTTCATAAAGTAACATTTATGAAGGCGTTCAGGGAAACCGGCAGGCCGGACTCGAGTCCTGGAGATGGGAAGTGCAGTGCCTGCACTCTGAAGGAGGGGTGTTAATGTTGCAGTTTAAAAACTGTAGTGTAAAGCACCCTTCTGGCAAGACAGTGATGGAGTGAATGATGGTGAAAGTTTTTCTTTTTCGGGCCACCCTGCCTTAGTGGGAATCGGCCAGTGTGATAATAAAAAAAATAATAAATCTTCCATTCTATCAAATTGTTGGTCGAGTGTCCACTGTATAGTACTTCACTGGTACTACAGTACCAACCCCATGCTAATGGGACAGATGGATGTGGAGGAAGAAAAAAAAAAAGTCATTGAATGAGCCAAGATGGCTTACAAGCAATCTTGAAATGACTGTGCTATGCATATTACAGCATCATAAATTTCAAATCACTGGTGTAAAAGCAGAAACTGCAAAATTTCTGAATTTGATGTAATATCAAATTAACACACACGATTAACATTTGAGCATGGCCTAAAACCATGCTAAAACAGCCTGCACATCAAGTACTATATTAATTTTTATTATACAGTAGAAAAAATATTGAATGATACTGCAATTTAAACTATACTTGTATAATAAAATATCTAGAAAATTATTTTTTCTGCATAGAATAATATTGCTCCTACCTTTAATTCCTCTTCCATTTCTGAAAGTTTACGCTCCAAGGCTCGTTTTTCCCGTTTATCTGCTTCAGCCATTGCGAGGCGTGTGTTACACTGAAGGAAAAAGGGCTTGGTTAAAAAAAATTTTGTGCCACAAGTTACACTATCAATTACAGTAAAAATTACAATTTCAAAATGTAATGAAGGTACTGTATATAAAAAAATTCTGACAAGTGACCAATACATGTATAGTAAAACTATAACTGTACCATCCATAAAAGATAAAATAAAGATAAAAAGAATTTGGTCATTTAGAGAGAATGGATCAAAGTAGAATGACATGGAAAGCATATAAATCTATAGGGGAAGGAAGGCGGGGTAGGGGTCGTCCTCGAAAGGGTTGGAGAGAGGGGGTAAAGGAGGTTTTGTGGGTAAGGGGCTTGGACTTCCAGCAAGCGTGCGTGAGCGTGTTAGATAGGAGTGAATGGAGACGAATGGTACTTGGGACCTGACGATCTGTTGGAGTGTGAGCAGGGTAATATTTAGTGAAGGGATTCAGGGAAACCGGTTATTTTCATATAGTCGGACTTGAGTCCTGGAAATGGGAAGTACAATGCCTGCACTTTAAAGGAGGGGTTTGGGATATTGGCAGTTTGGAGGGATATGTTGTGTATCTTTATATGTGTATGCTTCTAGACTGTTGTATTCTGAGCACCTCTGCAAAAACAGTGATAATGTGCGAGTGTGGTGAAAGTGTTGAATGATGATGAAAGTATTTTCTTTTTGGGGATTTTCTTTCTTTTTTGGGTCACCCTGCCTCGGTGGGAGACGGCCGACTTGTTGAAAAAAAAAAAAAAAAAAAAAAAAAAAGAATTTGAAGACAAATCTTTAATGTGTCCTTAGTATAGGTGGAAAATGCTAAACAAACTGTGAACAGCACATTGAGAAATAAAAAGAGTGTAATTGTCCCTACAAATTCACAACCTTCCTTATTAACAGGTTTTGTTTATCCAGTTTTCACCAACTGGCAACCAGTGAAAAGATTTTATGATTTTTTTTTTTTTTGGCTGAATGGCTTTCCCATGTCCAAATCTTTATTTATTTATTTATTATTAATTTGGACATGATACATAGATGTACAAAGAAATACAGTGGTTAAGTGTAACATGCCAAAGCCCCTTGTATGCAGAGCATTATGGGCGGGGTTAAAATTAACTTAAGATTAACTAAGCAATGATATATTCAGTGGTAAAAATTATAGTAAACAAATAACAAGCAAGCACAAATGAGAATTTCAAAGCCAGGTCATGTGGTCATTTGCTGAGTTGCTGTGCATTCAATAAAATGGAGTATTCTATTAGGTAATGTAATTAAAAAAAAAAAAAAAAACTGATAGGGTCACAGGTTATACATTTATGAGATACAGTTATTCAGTATTTATTTAGTTGTGGGTGAGTAAGTGATTTTTAAGAAGAGACTTGAATTTATACAGTGTTTCTTTTATATTCACAGGTAATGAATTCCAGATTTTTGGGCCTTTATGTGCACTGAGTTTTTGCATAGTGTGAGATGGACACGAGGAACATCAAAGAGTGATCTGTGCCTTGTGTTATGGTCATGTGTTCTGTTGAGGTTGGTAAGGAAACGTTTGAGGGGAGGGTTTCTTTATTCTGGTCATTATCCCTAATTAATGTCAACATTAACCAGAGTAGTTTGATATATGTATTACAAAAAAGTTAACCCAATTCCAAGACAAAATTTGTTATGCAAACTTTCTAGTTTCAAGGAAAGTCTATGAATATAATCTCTTTGGAAATCAGTAGGATGACTATACTGGTAGAATATATCATAGTACTTTAACACTCATATCTAACAGTTTTTTCTGTGCATGTACAAGCATGCACATGTCTACGTGCAAGCATGCGCGCGGCGCGCGCACACACACAAAATGAGGACTCATGTTCTGACACTAAGTTACCTGGGTACCTGCCTATTTTAGTCTACCTAGTGATGATAATTTTTAACAAGTACAGCCTCTCCTCACTTACCGACATACTCGTTTACCGACAACTCTGAGTTACAATGGGCTCTCCGACAAGTCAGTATTGTATACTGTACGAGAACTTGGGTGACGGAAAAGGGCGGTACAGTGTCTCAGCGTCAAGCATCTCAATCTCCTCCTTACAGCCACTCAGTACACTAGCTATTAAAGTCTCCAAGACTACATATTTGTACAAATTTGTACTTGATTGTGCACCCCATAGTACAGTAGGGCCCCACTTACACAGCAGGTTAGGTTCCAGGCTACCGCCATACAGTGGAACACCCTTTTTTTCCACTTATAAATGAATATAAGGAGGTAGTAGGTTGGAAGACAGCAACCGCCCAGGGAGGTACTACCGTCCTGCCAAGTGAGTGTAAAACGAAAGCCTGTAATTGTTTTACATGATGGTAGGATTGCTGGTGTCCATTTTTCTGTCTCATAAACATGCAAGATTTCAGGTATGTCTTGCTACTTCTACTTACACTTAGATCACACTGCACATACATGTACAAGCATATATATACATACCCCTCTGGGTTTTCTTCTATTTTCTTTCTAGTTCTTGTTCTTGTCTATTTCCTGTTATCTCCATGGGGAAGTGGAACAGAATTCTTCCTCCGTAAGCCATGCGTGTTGTAAGAGGTGACTAAAATGCCGGGAGCAAGGGGCTAGTAACCCCTTCTCCTGTATATATTACTAAATGTAAAAGGAGAAACTTTAGTTTTTCCTTTTGGGCCACCCCACCTTGGTGGGATATGACCGGTGTGTTGAAAGAAAGAAAGAAATGAATATAAATACTAGATAACAAGTTTACACTAACTTATATTACTAACACATGTAGAACCCAGAATGACCCAAGAATACCAACAGTGATACCAAAAACTCGAGAAATTGACAATCAAAGTGAAGACTGCCCTTCAAACCCAAAGCACAGCCCCACTGCCAGATGAACACTTACTCGAAGCTCTGACCAAATTTAGCTTCTCCATCTTAACATAAGAACATAAAAAGAAGGAACACTGCAACAGGCCTACTGACCCATGCAGAGCAGGTCCATGTAACACCCCCCTCTCTTCCCTGGGATTAGCCCAATGACCCACCCAGTCTGGTCACCCCCACTCAAGGAAGGAGCACAGCACCAGACCCAGCAGCACAAGCTAGTCAGGTCCAACTCACACCCACTCGTGTATTTATCTAACCTATTTTTAAAGCTACACAATGTTTTAGCCTCAATAACTGTACTTGGGAGTTTGTTCCACTCATTCACAACTCTATTACCAAACCAGTGCTTTCTTATATCCTTCCTGAATCTGATTTTTTCCAACTTGAAACCATTGCTGCAAGTCCTGTCTTGGCTGGAAATTTTCAGCACACTATTTACATCCCCTTTATTTATTCCTGTTTTCCATTTATACACCTTGATCATATCCCCCCTAATTCTACGCGTTTCGAGAGAGTGCAGATTCAGGGCCCTCAGTCTATCCTCATAGGGAAGATTTCTGATTCATGGGATGATCTTTGTCATCCTCCTCTGTACATTTTCCAGAGCATTTATATCCATTCTGTAATATGGTGACCAGAACTGAGCAACATAGTCTAAATGAAGTCTAACCAAGGATATATAGAGCTGAAGAACAACCTGAGGACTTCTATTGTTTATACATCTAGATATGAAGCCAAGAATTCTGTTAGCTTTATTGCAAACACTAATACACTGTTGTCTTGGTTTTAGATTACTGCTAACCAGAACTCCTAAATCCTTTTCGCAATCAGTAGTATTAGGATCTACATTATTTAGTTTATATGTCGCATGGTTATTTTCCTGTCCAACATTTAGAACTTTGCATTTGTCTATACATGTATTAAACTGCATCTGCCACCTCTCCGACCATTGCATCAGTCTATTCAAATCATCCTGTACTACTATGAGACCAAACCACAGAAGAAGCAACAAAAAAGAACAGCAAGGAAGCACCTAGAAATCAACTATTCCACTTGACGACCCAGCAGGGCGCTGGTGCCCCGTCCACCCCCTCACCATCACCCAACCCGACGCATCAACAACAACACCAAACATGCCCCACTCCCCTTCACACTCCTCTACCTTCATAGGATTCAACCCATCTGATACTCTCCCAGATATGAACAATGACCCTGACACTCTTAAGTCATACATCACTACCCTAACTGTGGATAATATGAATCTTCGTACAACACTAACGAAACATGAATCTAAGTTAGCCCACCTTGAAAGCAAGATCCTCAGCCTTGAACAACAGTTAACGTCAGATGGAATGACTGATTTTGGCAAGAACTTCCAAACAGTCATAGCCAGCCACACAGAACAGATAACATCCCTAAACACAAAGGTTGAAGATGCGGTCAAGGACTGGAAGATCAACATGGATACCCAGTTAAACGAATATTTTGCATACCAAGATGATAAAACCGAGCAAGTTGTCTGACTCTGTAATAATTAGCAGTTCACTCTTTCCTAGTGAAATAAACCATACCAACTGCAAAAATACTAGTCTTCAGATCATAAAAGACCACCTACAGGTTATAGTGCCAGTGTCAGATACTATAAAAGAAATGCAGTTACTAGGGAACCAAGGTAGAAAACAAAGTGTTATGTTTAGATTTCACACACGAGACATGAAAAAAGATCTAATAAGTGCATCTATTAAAGCTAAAAAAGATGTGTACGTAAACCAGTGTCTCACAAGAAAACATCAGACCCTCCTGAGAATGACAAAATTCACCAGTGCTTCATACAGGATGGAAAAATTCTAGTAAGGAAAACAAATGTAGGCCGTGTGTACACTATCACAAATGAAAATGAACTATCCAGCCTCCTTCGAGATGCAAATCTTACAGTCTGACTAAAATCAGTGACCAAATCTTTATACTACTACATTAGTGTATGTTATTCCATTATTGTGCTAGTCCCTGTACTATCACTTCCCTGATAGTATCTACTACCTCATTGTCTCATGGTCCTCACACCATTGATTGTGTTGCAGATGTTGCAAGTATATGGAATAGGTGGCAAGTTACTAAATGCTGTAAA